CTGAGGTCCTCAGGTCAGGTTTGGACAGAAGTCCCTTGTTCACTGGCATAGCACGTGCCTGGCAGACAACATCTGGTAGACATCAACTTCTTGACCCTGGCAGCCACTAACTTAGTCAAAGCTTCTTACAATTGGATCTGGTAGAACACAATCACCCTAACTACATCAAAGGTTGCAGTTCTGGGGATTATCAAGTGTCCAAACACCTCCTCCACTTCTGCATAGTATCCCTTGAGCCTTTGTATCAAAGAGGTACTGGTATGGGCTCTTCCCCATTAACCAGCATTGGGTAGACATGGGTCAGGCAGTTCAGCCATCAGCAAGGAAGCATGTTCTGTGCTTGAAGATCCCATAATGAAACTTTCTGTGTTTTCAGTCACTGTATAGTTCCACCTCTTTTCCTTGGAGGTCTGACTGTGTAGGACTTAGTGCTCCCCACTTGACTGTTTTATTCAAGTTTGCAGAACGACTGACTAGGAGAGGGTAATTTGACTCACAATAGCCCCAGTACAGTTTGGGGTTAAAATTGCCTCTTTCTTACCCTAGTACTTATAAAATTAATGAGAACTCATGTTCTCTCCACGCCAAGTTAAGTGCTGTGTGAATCTAGCCAGAAGATCTCAGGTTCAATCCCAGATGTCTTCAGAAAGGGCTGGAGAAACTTTTGCATGAAATCCAAAAGTGATCCTTAATTGTTGTTGACCAGAGTAGACAACACATCTTTCACTCCAGCCTCGTCATCTGAATGAGGATCTGTTGTGCAATGAAATACAGATTTGAGGTTGACCCTTTGCAGGTGAAATCCTCTAGCTCGGGTTGATCCAAACAATATTTTGGTAATGTTCTGCAAAGCTATTTATTTTTCAGACAGAGGTGATGAAGAAAAACAAAAGAGAAATGCAGTGGCGGTAGCAGAAGTTTTGTGTGTCTCTCTCCCCCCACCCCAATTTTCTTTTGTTTCTGCTGGGAGCCTGCTCCCTTGTACCATTTTGGTGTGTTTCAGATTGACCAGCAGGTCATCCAAGAATATTTGACTATGTTGCTCCCCTCCTTTTACAGGACGGAGTGATGGCGAAAAGAAAAAGAAAAGATTAAGTTCAGTTCACCTACAGGGAAGATACGACACCCTTCCCTTCCTCAGCCAGTCATACTACCCAAGAGACACTTTATGTCACCAGCAGACAGGATTCTCAAGTGACTTCTGAGATCTCCCTTCAGGCCACAACACATCAGTCTCCTTTACAGTCTGAATGGAATTAATCCTGTCCTTCCTGTTCTTTCCTTTCATTTCCCAATCTGTTTCTAATCCGTGACCTGACATTTCATCTGATGCCATCATCGGGGAGTTTAAAAACAAAAAAAGGATGCTGGAAGTGGGTGGGGGGAGGGAAGGTATTCTATTTTCTCCCCCATTTTGAGAAGGTTGAATGGAATGGCATTGGGTGATGGGACGCCAGTTAGAAAGGCGAACAAAGGAGCTGCTGCAGGTTTCTTTTAACACAAAACAGCAGACAGGCATTAGCAGCGGTTGATTCCTGCAGAGTCCTTGGCTCTTTGCTGAAAAAGGCATTGCACGACTTTCTTGGGGAAAGCTCCATATAAAACAGGATGTGTTTGTGAAAGTAGCATACAAAATCAGTGCCTGTTGGGAAAAGGTGTCCATGAAAATAACCCCCGACCAAGGTTAACACTTACTAAGCTTAGTGTGTCATCTGAATGCAACCACCAGAAGTTTAATTAATCTGGGGGAGCATGTTGTGCCAGTGCAGAGAAGGGGTTACTTTAATGACGGACAATATAATAGCCTCTAGAACTAGCACCAAAAAAAGATGTCCTTTTCATCATAGGGGATTGGAATGCTAAAGTAGGAAGTCAAGGAGTA